GGATGTGATCAAATAGCAGGCCAAAGATATCTTTTATGAAGATAGAAAAATAGAAAAATTATACTAAAAGTCAGAAAAATAGAAAAAATACACAGAAATATTATTAATGGAAAAGGTAAGATTTGATGTGATACACTGACCATGTGAATCTTTCCAAATAAATAGAAACTATCTAACCATCGTGTATTTTATATTGTGAATATTAGCATCTATATCATACCACAGAAAACTCATAATAATGTATAGATATATATCATAAAAATTATAAAGTAACCACTTTTAAGTAAGATAAAAACAATACATTCATGAATTTTAGACATTAAATATATTCTAAACAGAAAACATAAATCATTAGTAATAAGTACATCAATAAATTGGCCCATTAAAATATAAAATAAATGTAAATATAAATTAAATATAAAATAAATGTATATTTATTTTCAAAATCCTACCAATAGAATAATAAAAAAGAAACCATAGATGTGAAGAAATATTGGATACAAATTTATTCTAATAATGACTAACTATTCAGAATACAAAATTTCCTAGAAATAAATAAAGGCAAAAAATATAATAAAATATTGAGCATAACCATGGTCGCAAACAGGTTAGTGAACGAGGTAGAAACTCACTGGTCAGAAGAAAAATGCAAATTATACCAAATAGATAGTATTACACACATATACTCAAATGAGTGTAAGTTTATAACAACTGTGAAATATTCTCAAAACTTTAAAATAGAATAGTCATATGATCCAATAGTTTCACTTCTGCCTATATACATAAAAGTTTTGAGAGCAAGGAGTTCAACAAATATTTCTACATTTATATTTATAGCAACATCATTCATATTGTGTCAAAAGTGGGAAAAACCCAGATGTTCTTTGATAGATAAATAATGTTTTAGTTTGGGTTTTTATTACTATGATAGAACAACATGACCAAAGCAACTTAGAAAAGGAACCACCTAATTGGGTTATGGTTCCAGAGGGTTAGAGTCCATAATGGCAGAGCATAAGCATAGCAGCACAAACAGCTGAGAGCTGACATCTAGATCCACATGCATGAGACAGAGACCATATGAATCTTTTGAAAGCTCAGTAACAAATTTCTTCAAGTAATAGGTGCCATGCAGAAAAAGCTGCAATGGATAAATGAGTTTCCTGGAGTTGGTCCACCATTTTTGCTCAGCTCTGATGGGTGTACCTTAGAAAGACAAAACCCCAGGCGCTTCCCCCTAGATTGCTTCTTGCTGATTTGGTGTCCTCTCATGCTTGTAATTGCTATATTACTCATATATCTGGCATGGAATGATTGGACATGGGGAGACCCTCACTGCCTATAGTCTAGTTAAATTGCTTCCTGTGTGACAACCCATTGATTTGACCCATTTTCCTGCAGATCAATATGGAGATTAACTTTCATAAAATAATATTGTTTAGATAATGTAATGATATTAAAGAATTCCTGATATGATTTAAATAGTTTTAGAAAGTTAGGTTAAGATGGTTTTATCAGTGGTTATGTTGAAAATCTTGAGAAACAATTTGAAGTTAGAAACATACACTTTTTTTCTTTTTTTATTGTTATCACTTATTACAAATTGTTCAATTTGTACCCCAGTTGTGGCCCCCTCCCTTGTCTTCTCCCAATCACACCCTCCCTCCCTCTGTTTCCCCTATGTTACTCTTCTAATCCACTATTAGGTAAAGTCCTCCTTCCCCTATATGGCCCTAGCCTATCAGGTCTCATCAGAACTGGCTGCATTGTTTTCCTCTGTGGCCTGGTACGGCTGGCTGCCTGGCCCCTTAGGAGGTAACCAAAGAGCAGCCACTGAGTTCCTGTCAGAGACAGCCCCCTCTCCACTTAAGAGGGAAAATACTTGGAGACTGACTCTATGGGCTAATATCTGAGCCTGGGGTTTAGGTCCTCTCTATACATTGTTCTTGTTAGGGGTATCATTCTCTTCAGGGCCCCCAGGGTTCAGTTTTTTTGGCTCTGTTGGTCTCCTTTTGGAGCTCCTATCCCCTCCAGGACTCCCCCTTCTTTCATTCCCTGGACTCTGGCCAATGTTCGGCTGTGAGTCTCAGCCTCTGCTTTGATACCTACATCAGCAGAGTCTTTCAGAGGTGGTAGGCTCCTGCACTGTTTCCTGTCTTCTGGTTTTTATGTCTATCAATTTTGTTCTTCTGAATGAGATTTGGGCATCTTCCACAAGGTCTTCCTTGTTGTTTAGCTTATTTTTTATTTTTTGTTTTTGTTACAATGTATTCACCTTGTATCCCAGCTGTAGCCCCCTCCCTCATGCCCTTCCAGTCCTGCCCTTCTTTCCTGTTCTCCTCCCATAACCATCATCCAGTCCACTGATAGGGGAGGTCCTACTCCCATTCCATCTGACCCTAGCCTATCAGGTCTCTTCAGGACTGGTTGAATTGTCTTCCTCTGTGGCCTGGTAAGGCAGCGTCCCCCTCGTGGGGAGGTGATCAAAGAGCCAGCCACTGAGGTCATGTCAGAGACAGCCTCTCTTCCCTTTCAAGGGAATGGACTTGGATAGATGGGCTTTATTTGCGAAGGAGTTCTAGTGCAACTCGATGCATGTTCTTTGCTCAGAGTTTCAGTCTCAGAAAAGACACCTGTGCCTCGGTTTTTTTTTTTCCTGTTGTTCTCCTTGTGGAACTCCTGACACCTCCAGGTCTTTCATCTCTCCGTTATTTCATAGGATTTCCTGCACTCTACCCAAAGTTTGACTATGAGCCTCAGCATCTGCTTTTTAATACCTTGCTGGGTAGAGTCTTTCCCAGCCAACTGTGGTGGTTCCTGTCTTCTTGCCTGTTTTCTCCCTCTTCCAATATCTATTCTGATTGCCTTTCTGTATGAGGATTGATCATATTACCCAGGTTCTCCTTCTTGCTTAGCTTCTTTAGGTGTACAGATTTTCGTATATTTATCCTTTATTATTTGTTTAATATCCACTTATAATTGAGTATATACCCTGTATGTTTTTCTGTTTCTTGGATGCCTCACTCAGGAAGATCATTTCTAGTTCCCAGCATTTGCCTGCAGAAATAATGATTTCCTTGTTTTAAATAGCTGAGTATTATGCAACTGTGTAAATGTACCACAATTTCTGTATCCATTCCTCCATTGTAGGACATCAGGGTTGTATCCAGATTCTGGTTCTTACAAATAAAGTTGTTATGAACATGTACGAGCAAATGTCCTTGAATTCATGAGCATATTTTGGATATGTACCTAGGGGTGGTATAGCTGGTTCATGAGGTAGCAATATACTTTATTTTCTAAGAAGTGCCATATTGATTTCCAAAGTGGTTTTACAAGGTTACAATCCAAGCAGCAATGAAGGAGGATTCCCCTTTCTCCACATCCTCTCCAGCATGTGTGGTCACTTGAGATTTTTATCTAAACCATTCTGATGGGTGTAAGGTGAATTCTCAGGGTCCTTTTGATTTGCATCTGTCTGATGACTAAGGACATCAAGCACTTATTTAAATGTTTCTCTGCCATTTGAAGATACTCTTTTGATAATTATCTAGCTCTGTACCCGATTTTTTAATTGGCTTACTGGATTTGTTGTTGTTTAACTTTTTCAGTTCTTTATATATTCTGGATGTAAACCCTCTGATATATTGTAGGTGAAGAACCTTGAGCAGTTTGTAGGCTGTCATTTTGTCCAATGACCGTGTCCTCTGCTTTACAGAAGCTTTTTAGTTTCATGAGGTCCATTGTTGATATTAGAGCATGTGCTGCTGGTGTTCTGATCAGGAAGTTGTCTTCTGTGCCAATAAGTTCAAGGTTCTTCCCCACATTTTCTTCTAACCGATTTAGTGTGTCTGATTTTATGTTAAGTTCTTTGATCCGCTTACACTTTAGTTTTGTACAGGGTGATAAATATGAATCGATTTGCATTTTTTACATGTAGACATCCATAGAGACAAGCACCAGTTTTTAAAGATGCTATCTTTTTCCACTGTATGATTTTGGCTTCTTTGTCAAAAATTAATTTTCTCTGGGTGTATGGGTTTATTTTTGGGTCCCCTTTCGATTCCATTGATCCATCATTCTGTTTCTATGCCAGTACCATGCAGTTTTTATTGCTATTGCTCTGTAGCACTGCTTGAGATATTCGATGAGATACCTCCAGATCTGTTGTTTTCCAGGATTGTTTTAGCTGTTCTGGATTTTTTGTTATTCCATATGATATTGAAAATTGTTCAAGTTCTGTAAAGAATTGTGTTGGTATTTTGATGGAAATCTCATTGAATCCGTTGATTGTTTTTGGTAGAATAACCATTTTCACTGAGTCACTACAGATCCATGAGCATGGCCTATATTTCCATCTGCTGATATTTTACACCCCTGTATACCTGAGATGAAGCTCACTTGGTCATGGTGGATGATATCTTTTATGTTTTCTTGGATTTGGTTTGTGAGTATTTTATTGATTACTTTTGCATCAGTGTTCCTAACAGAGATTGGTCTGAAGTTCTCTTTTTTTTGTTGTTGAGTCTTTGTATGATTTAGTTATCAAGGTGACTTGTCTTGGCAATGTTCCTTCTGTTTCTATTTTGTGAAATAGTTTAAAGAGTAATGGAGTTAGCTCTTCTTTGAAGGTCTGGTAGAATTCTGTGCTGAAACCATCTGGCCCTGATCTTTTTTTTTTTTTTTTTTTTTTTTTTTTTGTAAGGGAGATTTTTGATGACTGCTTCTATTTCCTTGGAGCATATAGGAATATTTAATCTACTTACCTGATATTGATTTAATTTTGGTAAATGGAATCTATCAAGAAAATTGTCTATTTCACTTAGATTGTCGAATTTCGTGGTATGTAGGCTTTTGTAGTAAGACCTAGTGATTGTTTGGATTTCCTCAGTGTCTGTAATTATGTCCCCCCCCCTTTTTTTTAGATTTTGCTGATTTGGATAGTTTCTCTCTGTCTTATAGTTAGTTTGGCCATGGGCTTGTCATTTCATGATGTCTTAAAAATTATGGTATGATTCATGAATTTGCATGTCATCCTTTCTCCGGGGCCATGCTAATCTTCTCTGTGTTGTTCCAATTCTAGTATATGTGCTGCCAAAGTGAGCACTTGTCTATCTTATTGATTTTCTCAAAGAATCAGCTCTTGGTTTCATTAATTCTTTGAATTTTTTTATTTGTTTCAAATTCATTGATTTCAGTTCTGTGTTTGATTATTTCTAATCATCTATTCCTTTTTGGTGTGTCTACATTTTTTTCCTAGAGCTATTAGGTGTTCTGTTAAGTTGGTTGTATGAGATGTCTCAAATTTATTTCTGAAAGCACTGAGAACTATGGACTTTCCTCTTAGCACTGCTTTCATTGTGTCCCATAAGCTTGGGTAAGTTGTCCCTTAATTTTCACTGTATTTTAGGAAGTCTCTCATTTCTACTTTCATTTCTTCCTAACCAAGCTATCATTGAGTAGAGAGTTGTTTAGTTTCCATGTATATGTAGGATTTTTATTGTTTCTTTCATTGTTGAAGTCTACTTTTAGGCTATGTTTATCTGATAGTACACAAGGGATTATTTTCATCTTCTTGTATCTGTTGAGGCTTGGTTTGTGCCTGACTATACAGTCAATTATGAAGAAGGTTCCTTGGGGTTCTTAGAAGAAGGTAATTTTTTTGTTTATTTGTTTGGGTGAAAAGTTCTCTAGAGGTTGGCATAAAAGCACATCCAAGAAAAATCCCGACATCATAGCTTCACCAGCAACCTCAAAATTCAATGTATATTTTAATTCATTGTACACACAGGAAAATATTATCAAATATTTGCTTAACCAGTTATTAGAGGCATTTAAGGGAACCGAATAAAGCTCTCAAAGAAATACAGGCAAATATAGCTGAACTATAGAGTCACAGGTAGAGGTATAAGTAGAGGCATATACAGAGGAAACAAACAGAATAAATTGAGTACATCATGGAAAAACATTCAAACAGATGAAAGAAAGCATACAAGATATTAAAACAGAATTGGAATCAATAAAGAAAACACAAGCAGAGAAAACCCTGGAGCTGGAGAATTTAGAAAAATGATCAGGAAAAACAAAGTCAGGCATCACCAATAGAATACAAGAGATGGAAGAGAAAATCTCAGGTGCTGAAAATACTCTGGCAGAAATTGATAAAACTCTCAAAGAAAAAAATAAATCGGAAAAGATCCAAACACAAAACAGTCAAGAAAACAAGGATGTCATAAAAAGATGAAATCTAAGAATAATAGGAATAGATAAAAAAGAGAAGATTCCAGGTTCCCAGATCCAGAAAATACTTTCAAGAAAATAACAGAAGAAAAATTTCCCATCTTAAAGAAAGAGATGTCCATAAACATAGAATCCTGAATAGAGTAGACCAGAAAAGAAACTCATTTCACATAATAGTCAAAATACTAACTCTACAGAACAAAGAAAACATATTAAAAGCAAAAATGGAAAAAGTCCACTAGCATATAAATGTAGACCTAGCAGGATCACACCAGATTTCTCCACATAAACAATGAAAGCCAGAAGGGTTTGTGCAGATGTCATGCAAACTCTAAAAGACCACAGATGCCAACCCAGACTACAATCCCCAGCAAAGCTTTCAATCAGCATAGATGGAGAAAACAAAATATTCTGTGAAAAAAAAATAGAGTTAAACAATATCTACACAGCAACCCAGCCCTACAGAATTTAACAGAAGGAAAACTCCAAAATGATGAAATCAGCTACACCCACGAAAACTCAGGATGTAGATAATTTCACAACAAAATCTGAAAGAAAACAAGCATAGAAACAGTAACAGTACTAACTCCCAATAAAAGGAACTTATATTCGTCACTTTTATCTGTCAACCTCAATGGTCTCAATTCTCCAATAAAAAGACACAGACTAACAGGTTGCAGAAACAGGATCCAACATTCTGCTGCATCCAAGAAACACACCTCTGCCACAAATGTAAACACTACCTCAGAGTAAAGGCCTGGAAAAAGGTTTTTCAAGCAAACAGACCTAGAAAACAAGCTTGAGTAGCTACCCTAATATCTAGTAAAATAGACTTTCAACCAAAATAAATAAAAAAGATAAGGAGGGGCACTTTATTCTCATCAAAGGAACAACCCATCAGGTAGACATCAGAGTCCTGCACATGTATGCCCCAAATACAAGAGCACCTGCATTTGTAAACAAAATGTTATTAAAGCTTAAATCATACATCAATACCTTAGTAATGGGAGACTTCAACATTCCACTCTCATAAAGTTACAGATTAACTTGACAGAAATTAATAATGACATTTACAGAGGTCCTAAATGAAATAGACCTAATAGATTTCTGCAGAACTTCTTATCCAAACTCAAAAGAGTATACCTTCTTGTCAGCACCTCAGTAACCTCCTCAAAAAATGACCATGTAGTTAGGTACAAAGAAAAGAACACTTTTAATGGTTTAGCTGGAGATTTTTTGAGGTTCGTAAGCAAGAACACTACCCCAATTAGTACTGGCTGACATGACTTTTTCTCTAAAGTTGACCTGAAGGTGATGATTAATTTCTTGTACCCATTTTGATATTAGGTTCATGATATGATGCAATAAAAAAATGTCAATGAGTAGATGTGGACCTTGAGGATTTAAACTAGAAATGGCTAATTGTTTTTATATAAATGTTTAGATTTATGATTCTTCTAAGATTTTTATGAGATTACTTTTAAGATAACTGATTCTTTCTTTGTAATTGCAAATTGCAGCCTGCCAGTAAAGAGAAACTGGCAGGAAATTTTACCTTGTTTGCGTATAGTTTTAGTCTATAACAAGTTGCTTAGCTACAAATGTATGTGGGTTCTTTGAAATAATTTGTAAAACATTTGATCATGTGAGGGTATTGGAGAACATGTTTTTCTTACATATACTCATTTTAATTGTTCACAAAAATAGAATAGAATATAATCACGTTGTGATTTTTTTTTCTGATTGAAAGATTTTTCTGGGATATATAAAGTGTGGGAAAAAATATAGTTGTTGGAGTTTTGCTCCACAGACAAAATGTGTATAAGTGTGTATACGTATATATGTGAATATGGTTGGAGCTTGCTTGTTGGAACTTTGCTCCATTTACCGAATGTGTGAATGTGTGTAAGTATAAATAATGTACGTATGTATGTAAGTATGTATGTACGTTTGTATGTATGTGTATATATATATATATATATGGGTATTTGTAAAATTGTTGAAGCTTGTAGGAACTTGCACATTGGCGCTTGTTTTGCTTTATCCAGTAACTCTAGGTGTGTAAGTGTGGATGATTCTTTCCCTCCTTTTCTTTTTTCCTTCACATTGGCCAGATCCCAAAGAGCACAAGGAGTTCACAGCCAGTTACAAGCAGTAATGGCCTACAGTTGCTAGGAGCCATCAGCTCTGACTTCTGCAGACTCTATGCCCCATCTCAGTTTATCCTTTGGTGCTGAAGCTGGCCTTTGACATTTTAGCAAGGCCATACCTCCTAATCCTTCACAAACAATTCTACCAACTGAGGACCAAATATTTAATTTCTGAGATATACAGTGGGTTAGCTCATTAAAATTACTAAATTTCACTCCCTGGAAGCCATAATCTCTTGGTGAAATCAGAATGCAAAAGGAATTTAGTCCAATTTCAAAAGTCTCTACAGTCTTTCAGAGTTAACAACATTTTTATATCCATGTCTTTTCTATGACTCTAGGCTACAGTCTTTTTAAATTTTTATTTATTTATTTAATTTTAATTTTAATTTTTTATATTCATTAGAGTTTATTCACTTTGTATTCCAGCTGTAGCACCCTCCCTCATTCCTTCCCAATATCACTCTCTCTCCCTGTTTTTCTCCCATGCCCCTCTCCAAGTACATTGATAGGGGACATCCTCCTCCTCTTCCATTTGAACCTACCCTATCAGGTCTCATCAAAACTGGCTACTTTGTCTTCATCTGTTGCCTGGAAAGGTTGCCTCCATCTCAGGGGGAGGTTATCAGAGAGCCAGCCACAGCACAGGTTCTAAGATCAACAATCAATAAATGGGACCTCATGAAACTGAAAAGCTTCTGTAAAACAAAGGACAGTGTCATCAGAATGAAACAACAGCCTATAGACTGGAAAAGGATCTTCACCAACCTTATATCTGACAGAGAGCTAATATTTAGAATACATAAAGAACTCAAGAAGTTAAAAGCAACAAATCAAGTAAATCTATTAAAAATGGGGTACAGAGCTAAACAGAGAATTCTCTGTAGAGGAATATCGAATAGCAGAGAAACACTTAAAGAAATGCTCAGAGTCCTTAGTCATCCAGGAAATGCAAATTAAAACGTCTCTGAGATTTCACCTCACAGACTTCAGAATGGCTAAGATCAAAAACTCAAGTGACAATACATACTGGAGAGGATGTGGATAAAGCGGAACCCTCCTCCATTGCTGGTGGGAATGTAAGCTTGTACTATCACTTTGGAAATTAATCTGGCTCATTCTCATACAACTAGGAATAACACTTCCTCAAGATCCAGCTATACCACTCATAGGTATATATCCAAAATATGCTCAAGTACACAAGGACTTTTTTTCTGATTTATTTTTTTAATTTTTTATTAATTACACTTTATTCATTTTGTATCCCCCCATAAGCCCCTCCCTCCTCCCCTCCCGATCCCACCCTCCCTCCCCTTTCTGCATGCATGCTACTTCCCAAGTCCACTGATAGGGGAGGTTCTCCTCTTCTTTCTGATCTTAGTCTATCAGTTCTCACCAGAAGTGGCTACCAGGCCACAGTAGAGGACACAAGGACTTTTGCTCAAACATGTTTATAGCAGCTTTATTTGTAAGAGCTAGAACCTGGAAACAACCCAGATCTCCCTCAACTGAGGAATGGATATAGAAATTGCGGTAGATTTACACAAAAGACTTCAGGAAATTTGCGGACAAATGGTGGGATCTAGAAAAGATCATCCTGAGTGAGGTATCCCAGAAGCAGAAAGACACACACGGCATATACTCGCTTATAAGTAGATATTAGATATATAATATAGGATAACTATACTAAAATCTGTACACCTAAATAAGCTAAGCA